GTGACTTTTTCATCAAGGTGCTTCCCAAGTGGGTTCTTGACCACTCGATCTTGTGGGAAGAGTTTATGATTTTGGATCCAGACACAAATCTCCCAGCCTACAAGACTTCAGAGGCCGCCTTACAAGCAGAAAGGAATCCAGAGAAGTATCATACACATTTTGCTATGAACTTCAAGAAATTCCGTTTTTCTGCAAGGATTGTGTGGTATTTGATTGACCGTGACAGGAATCATTTAGAGAGTTTTCTTCACAACTCCAACAGTAGATTTGTGCAACATGCATGCTATCAACTTCGTGAATATGTTCAGGCGCGTGTTGCAGTTTCTGATCCCTTGTATGAGATGATCAAGAAGGAAGAGTTTGAACGCCAATACAATTCCAAGTTTTTGGAGGCGATTTCTTGCTCTCGTGTTGTAGTTGAGCCTGTAAGTTCAGGGACGTATGAGCCATCATCGAAGCTGAACTTAAAGGTACTACAAGACATCCTGAAGGGTATCTTCAAGATCCAGAAGGATGAGGAGCTTGCCAAAGAACGTGATGAAGAAGAACAACAGGCAGCTCAAAACATCTCATACCTGTTGGCAGATGATATGGAGCTTGATTTTGATGATGATGATGTTCCAGTATGGCGCTCCATTGTCGACAAGTATAGAGGAGGTGATCAGGTGCTACAGGGAGAAGCTGTGAAGATTACTCACCTGTTCAGGGATCAAAAGGACAATGAGAAGGCGACAGAAGCTTTCAGTTCAGAGAGGACAGATTTTTATGAGACCTCAGGACCTCTTCCAAGAACCGAGGGAGAAAATCTTGTAGAGGACTTGCTCACCAAGGATGTTGCAGAACAAGCTTTTGAAGCAGGTGAAGAAGTTCCTCCTTATACAAGAGTCTCCACTATCGCTGGTGAAGTCTATACTGGAAGTAGAACACTTCTAGAAGATGAGAATATGGAAGAGGAAGTTCCTGAAGAAGATCCTGCAGTTGAACCTGGAAAGGAAGAAGAAATATTTGATGAGAATGCAGGTGTTTTTCCTTCAGAGGAACCAAAGATGGAAGTGGACCAGGAGGAAGCCAAGGAAGAGTCAACACCACACTTTCTGTCAAGAGAGATAGGTGAGGACTCGACTGCATCGTACTTACCATCAGGTGAGATGGATGCTAACCTTGATGATACTTCAGGTCAGCGGAAATCTAAGAAAACCCGCCTGAATAAGATTCCTGATCCTCATTTTCATGAAGAAGTTCAGGATGATGCAACTATGGAAGAGAAGAAAGAGGCGGTGGAGAAAATAAAAGAGGTCAGAGAGGATGATGGAGAGAAGAAATTGGAGGCTGAAATCCAAGAATCTTTTCCATCTGAAGTAGTTGTTGAAAAAGATACAACAAAAGTTGACAATACCTATGAGTTGCATACTTCACCTTTGAAGTTGCTTGGAGAGCTTACAGGAGATCCAGGTATTGGCTTTTATCAACTATGCTTCAGGGAAACTCATGCAAGATTGCTGAATCATGTTTGTTTCAGAAAAGGTGAGATTTCCCATCCTCATTATCAGTCGAGGATCAACGAGAATGATTTTGTTCGATCCATTCGTAATATCTGTCCAGTACCTCCACCTGATTGTTATGAACATGAACCAGAGCATGATTTGAAGAGATTCTTTATCAATGATGATCGCGTCATTTATTTGGATGGCAGGTATCAGGTCGATCCAAAGGCCCTTGAAAGGGCAGGTCATGCTCGAGAAGAATTGGAGGAGACGAAGAAGGAACTCAAGAATGAACTGGAATCATATGGTCCCAAGGGACCCAGTTGGGACTTTGTCACCTTCTATGAAGAGCTGTGCAGAAGGTTCCTCAAGGGAAGAATAGAAGAACCATATGGAACTAACTTATTGGCCAGCTCAGAGTCCTTGACATTTTTATCCTGGAACTATGGCAACATGGTTCGTGGTCAGAAGTACACCACACCAAGGTTTCTCCAAGGACTTGATAGTGCAATGAGGCCACGCAAACAGAGCGCCATGTCACTTCAGAATGAGCAATTTGAGAACAACCTTTTCTTCAACATGCTCTTCTTTTTACGTGCACATGTCGTGATTCTCCAGGAAGCTCATCTTCTTGTTCCTGCCAAGGAATTTATTGAGCAAAAGAATTGGACAGTTTGCTTCAATGATTGGGAGAATCTTGCAGTGATGGCTAGATTGGCACCAGGTGGATATGTCAAGATCATTGCTGGACATGACCAAGACCTTGGTCACTGTGAACAGCGTGATGTAACTTGGGCTATCTACGAGATTTGTTTTGGAGAAACAAGGCCTCGTCAAGATTTCAAGGATGCAGACTTTGAATTTGATGACTATGGTCCTGAGGACAAGCGTGTTCCACTTACTCGAGCGAACATGCATACCATCAGAGTCTGTAATTATCATGTTGATACACACCGTGCTGTGGATGCCCACCTACTGACAGGAGAACAAACAGCATTGATGCTTTACGAGTGTTTTGTCTATGAGGTGGACATCATTTCTGGTGATGCAAATAGTTTGGCCTACAGAATGTCTGGGTACAAAAGGCAGCCAATGGCTAACTATTATTATAGCACCATGCAGCATTGGATCCGCAGGTTTTCAGAAGCCCGTGTAAAAGCAGATCCTGGTATCAAAGCACCTATTCCCAGAACTTTTTACAGTTCAACTTCACAGGTCCTCAAGAAGTGTGAAGATTTCTTTGACAAACTCTGGGAAGAATATTCTACTGTTGAAAAAGAAGAATACCAAGGATCACAGCTTGGCGATACATGTTTGTCTACCATTGTTGAATGGGGTCATTCAATGAGTGAAGAGGAATATGAAAATTCCACAGTGAGCACGAAGGAGTTCATCTGTAATTTTTCAGAGAACTTTGCTATGATTGACACGGAGGTTATGTGCTCAAGGCCCACTGACGAGGACAGTCATGGTCCAATGTTTATTTCACTCAGACCAGCTTCCTTTTCATCTGGAGACAGAAGACAGTATCGCATGGGACCAACTCTTCATGAGGCGAACTTGCGGAGGAAGGAGAGACAGAAGCAGAATAAAAGGAAAGGAAGGCCGCCAACTTCTGATCAAGCAACTTCATCGTTTGCAGCGGCATAATTCCTGAGCGAAGGCTGAAATTTAAATGATGGCTAGGAAGTGAAGATACTTCTGGTTACAGTTGATACTTTGCTTCCAGGCTTGACTTTAAGTTGCCAGGCTGAAGTTTTAATAAATTCTGGTTTGCAATGAGGAGGAACTTTTTATCAAAGAAGATACTCCTGCATTCCAGGTTTATACGCTTTAGCATGTAGATAGGTATGGACAGTTTAGCATAACTGATGATATCTATCACAGCCGCTCTTATGAAGTGACCTCTAATGGACAACCAGTCATGGTTGATGATTAAGTCATTTCATGATTTGCAATTGTAGTGCAAGATTTTTTTGTACATACATTTGCCGGTATCTCCTTCTTGTGTTTTTGATGTGAATGTGAAAGAGAGTCCTTTTGATGCAGTTTTATTTTGTCTGTGAATGAAAGCGGTTGAGACCACGTCACGAGAAGATTGTTCCTCGAACCGTACGCTCCTTGCATTTTGCAAGGCATCTTAATTCATTGCAATTTGTGCGGTCTTGAATTTTTAGTTCTTTGTTACGCGAGTGTCGTTTGATTCTTTTATAGGTCTCTGTAGAGAAAAAGCCGCTTTCCCTTTTTAGTTTGATTTAGCTCAGGCCCTAAAGAGCTAGTGAGCGCCGGTACATGGTATCTCCGCCTGCGAAAAGTACAGTCTCCAGCCGAGGTACATTATCGCTTTGATTTTGTACTTGAGGTGAGTCAGCTATTGCTCCCTCACTGTATTTAGTAGCTATGAGATTACCTTCTCTGAAGTGTGAAACACACTGGATTAGGTAAGTACATGGCACCGTAGTTTTCTTTTAAGTTGTCAGAGCTAGCTGGACTGTTTTAGCCTTGCAGTAGAAAAAGAGTATGCGACATACGCAATCAGCTAGGAGTGGACATGAATCTTGTGCCTGCTGAAAAGTAGAGCCTACCTGTACAGGGTTCCACTCCAACAGCCGATATAGTGTGTCCATGCTTGACTGCTTCAAGGCTCAAGAGATATAGGATAAGACTCTGCGTGAGTAAAAGACACTAGCGGTCTGCACCTCTACCGTGTACGCCCTAGTCACTCTTTCACCCCCCACCCCCCCCTCCCCTCCTCCCCTCTCCCCTCTCCCCTCTCCCCTCTCCCCACTCCCCATCCCACCTCCCCTCTCCTCCTTGTCTTCCTCCCACCTTCCCTCCCTCCTCCCTCTTCTCAAGTTCGACTCCGTCCTGTCGTCGCTCTTTGGCATGCGGTTAGCGTTGCGTATCTTGCGGCCGCACTCGCACTCGCTCACTCTCACTGTCTCACTGTCTCACTGTCTCACTGTCTCACTGTCTCTCTCTCTCTCTCATCTCTCTCATCTCTCTCATCTCTCTCATCTCTCTCATCTCTCTCATCTCTCTCATCTCTCTCTCATCTCTCTCATCTCTCTCTTCTCTCTTCTCTCTCTCCTCTCTGTCTCTCGTCTTTCCGTCTCTCTTCTCTCTCTTCTCTCGCAGGAGGATCCGGGCAAAGAGCCACATATAAAGGACTCTTCACCCCTGCCTCCAAAAAGAGCGCCGTGTTTTTTCCTACCTCGCTGCCCTCCACTTCCCCATTCTGGACCGCTAGCTTTCGCCCCCCCCCTTGGCCTCAAGTTGAATCTCAAAATTTGGGACCGCGACTTTCAAAGCCAATGAGTGGTCTTTTCAACGCGCCGTTCAAAGAGGCAGACCGAAGGACTTAGGGATTGACCTCTCATGTGTCAGGCGATCTTGGCACACACAGTTTGCTTCGATTCCTCGAACATGTCTCACGATTTGGCCGGCAGACCCTCACTGGGCACTCTTGATGCACCAGCCCAAGCTGCTTGTGGCGTGTCTTCGCTGCAAGCCCAGGAGAACTGGATGGGCAGGAAGCGCTTTGAGCAGTGTGCTGGATATCTCGTACAGGCAGCGCGTGCGGCGTGCGCCAAACGGGTGACCGGTGGGGTGACCGGTGACCGAGTTGGACCTGGGGACCGGTTCGTCTAGTGACTCAGTGACCATGTCTATTGCCAGTCACCATGGGTTGAGGAGTTCATAGGTTGTGTGGCATTTGGTTTCATCAGATCTCATGCTCCTTCGAGAAAGGGGGGCCGAAGAGGTTACTTCGGTCACTAGGGGTTCAGAGGTGGTGCGGATCTACCAACCTTGCATGCATGAGGTATTCCTCCCGCAAAAATGCATTCTTTTGTAGAGAGTTTGATGTTTGTCTCGATCCTGTGTTGCGAAAAAGCTCCAACCACGGCCCATCCAACGAGCTGAGACTTGAAATTGGGGGGTATGGAAATGAAGCCCGGCCCCGAAAGGAAGACCTTTTTGTTCCTCTACCAACAGGCCATTTTCCACTTCGTTTCTTGCGTATGGTCGCCTTCCCCACCACCTCTTTTTGCCCCACCGACCTTTTTCTTTCGGTTTGCAGCTCCGCACAAGAACGACCGCATCCCGGTCCCACGGAACCGTGTCTGTGCCTTGGACCTGCAGGTGGATGTGGGGCTTTTGCGCCAGGAGCACTTGAGGCCCGAAGAGGTGCCGGCGGCGGTAAGGTGACCGGTGTAGGTGTTTTGGTGTTTGGGCGGCGGGAGTGCCAAAGGGCCTAAGGGCATGTGTCCATAAGTTCCATTCGGTTCCATTTCGTTTTTTTGCTTTGAAATTAAAGCACCCGTTTGTTTTGTCTTCTCTATCTTACGCGAGAACATCACGTGGCTGGTCCTTTCGGGGCCAATCGTGATAGTGATTGAGCCAGACACGTCGATCTGAAAAGAGGATCGACGTCGAATCGACATCGTTTGTGTTTCGGGGAACGCACCCAAATCCAGGTCCACTGCCAGAATTGGACGATGGATGGAAAAAAGTGGGTCTGATTGGAATTTGACATGGTGACCCTCCAAACAAGAGTGGGTAAAGATGGTAAAGAAAGTAAAGAACAGAACACCCAAAGGCCAAAAACCGTGAATCTCCCGATTCCCAGTCTATTCGTTCGGTTCTGGTGGTTTTGACCCGGAGGCACATGGACACGAAAGTGGATGCATGTGTTTGGCATGGATTTGCCTGGTGTAGGTGGGGGTTTGTTGATGGGCTCCCCAGCCAGAGGAGTCTGATTTGTGGTCTCATGTGGTCTCAAATCCTTATTTTTGTCATCCCTGTGCGAATTTCCTCTAAAGAATAGGACAACCCGGGTTGTCTTAAAGAATGAAATCAGTATGAAAAGCAGGGTGGAAAGGACCACTGTGAAGGTGGGGGTTGAAATTCTTTACAGGTGGGTAGGTGGACCCTGATTTATAGAGAAGAACTATGGATCAACATCTTTAAAGACACTTGGGCAGCCGATGGACAGAAAAAAGAGGAGCGTGCTTGAAGATACATCTCAAATGGCCAATTCGACTCGAGCCCGGGTGTACTGATTCTTTAGGTTTTTGAATTTTTTGAAGGTCAGTGTCTATTCTTTAAAGAAGCATGTTTTCCATTGATTCTTTAGGTTTTGTGGCTCCAAGGTTTGTGATTTTTTAGTTACCTCTGACTACCTGCCAGCCTGGGTTCCTAAAGAATAGGACAGCCCGGGTTCGAGGTCGAATTCGATGGGGGATTTTTTGTCGGTATTGGTTGGATTCGATCCCCACAACCATCCACAACCCCAACAGCGCAACAGCGATCCAATCATCGCCTGACCCCTCACTTCGGTGGGCTACGGTGACGGTTTGAGCGCTGTTCCGGAGCGCTTGAACGGTCGTCCCATCGATTCATGGGAGTGGGTACCGGAGCGCATGAGTCAAGTGGTTCACGGTGGTGAACGCGTATGCGGTCACTGTTGCCTTGCGCCAAAGGGTCATAAATTAAAATAAGGTGAGGATGTCTGAAAGTTTGAGACTGAGCGAACATCGTAAGCTTGTGCCCGCTGACCAGCGCCCAATACAAGCGAATAACATGTGTTCCGTGTTGCGACAGGAAGACCAGAGGTGCTGTCTGATGAATCCAAGCACTCTGCTCGTGGATGCAAAAACATGACGCTGGGCGGGGCAAGTGCTTCCGTGCTTTGCGTCATTCTTCCAAGATCTTCCAAGCTGCTTTGCAGTTGCCATAATCCACAGACCCGTGACCAGCAGACACCCCGTGACCCTCCATGGCCCGCAGACACTGCCGAACAAGCAGATCTCCAGCGACTACAAGTGTGGACCGCCACGGCGGATCAGCTTGCACAACAAGGAGCAATTGGTGAAGCTTCAGCTGTGCCTGGGAGGGAAGAGCGAAGAGGGAAGAGCTGGATGAAGGGTGAGTCCTGGACGCTGAACAGATGGCCTTGTCAAAGGTTATATAATATATAGATATATTATATATTATATATAGCTGGTTCGTGCAGGGACGTTGACGGGCTATGCCGGTCGCCGATCTCTTTTCATGATGTCATGACCTGGTAGGGTAGTTCTATACATGACCCAAATTCAATGGTAAAGGGGATCTACAGTATATTACAGTATGTTTGGGGTGCAATTTACGTTTTGAACGTGTCGGTGAAAATGCAGCACCCGTGGATGAGAAGAAAACAACACCGGCCAGGTAATTCACTTCCCAAAACAAATAAACATTGTGAAGCGCACAAAACTAATTGCACAAAGATGCTTTGGTGGGACGCAAAACTCTCAATTTGTTGACCAAATATTTATCCACGTACGTATCTCCGTATTTTTTTCCTACCTAGCCCACCATTGCTCAACCGGTGAGAGCCTCCGACCCTGGAACCTCAAACATGTATGTGTGTGTGGGTTTTTGATGCAAACAATGTTTGGGGGTTCAGGACATATTTTGGTGAATCATCCGCCCCCGCGTGCACACGCTGGATTGGACAACGGTGGTTTTCTTCGTCGGCCTAGTCCGCCCGACTCGCGAGGATCGTTCCGTTATGAGGCGACCGAAGGTCTTCAATTTCCTGGGTCTGGGCGAAGTCGCTGTTTGCCTGGTAGTATCTTGGACACAAGGGACCGGAGAAGCATTCACATGTGGACACCTCAGCCACTTCAGCGTTTGAGGCATTTTCAAAGCTTGGAACGCCGGCAAAGGGGCAGTATCGGTCTGGAATTTGAATTCTGGGAATTTCTGCCGGGATCTGAGCCCATCACAACTTTCTTTTGTAGTCTTTTGTCAGGTCTCGTTTGACCAAACCCTTTTAGCTGTCAAGGGAAACTCAGGGAAACCACCCCTTCTGGTTCCTGGTTATGTAGCAGCATTTAGCAAGCTTGGAACCTGAATTTGGAACATGGTGTGCGAAGAGTTTGTGAGGTTTCTTCCTAACATATTGGTTTCTTGATGGGTGCGACTTGGCCAGCTCGGCTGCCAGCGGCTTTCAATGGTGAACCGTGTTGGAAACATAAACCATTCATAACGATTCTTTGTTTTGGACCACCAAAATGGGTGAATACTTGGGGTTCCAAAACGATAGCAAAACGATCCTACAAGCAAGATTACATCCTCTTTCAAGAGTCCTTCCACAGTCCAGATTGATGTCAGCGGACATGAAACAAGTCCTGGGACCATGTGGGTGGCTGCCACCTTTTTTTCCCGTGATTATTACCGTGAAACCATGTGAAACCCAAACAAGTCCTGAAGTTGGGGCAGATGTGCGGCAGTCACAAGGAGATTTGTGAGGCCTGAACATCCATCGCAGCTCCTTTCGGCGGCCCCTTCAGGTAAGGAGATTCCTCTTTCCAAACGAAAGCTGATCAAGTGAACCTCCTTGGCAAATTGGCAAACGAAGATGGACAAGTCCATTCCTGGCGCCTGAGGTCATGGATCATTCCAAGATGTCGCACCAGCATTGGACCCTGGTGATTTGGCGTCGGCATAGCGCATGAGGATGGTATGCCTGCGTGATGTGTCCGGGGTGGCCCCGAGCCACAGGGTGGAAAAGAAAGGGTACCATGATGTGCACCATGCTGTGCAGAAGAGAAAAAAAACATGTTTCCTCAATGTAGGGCAAAACGAATATATACATGTCCCTTGACAACGGACCAGCAGTTTGGTGCTTGTCCTTTTCGGTTTGTCCCTTAGGGCCGTTTCCAGCGGCGTCGAAGCTCCTGGTTTTCAGGTGAACTACTCCTTGATCACTGTGATGGCCGAGAAGGAGGATGGGCACTCACCAGGTAGTTGTTTGCTTGATTCTTTGGTTGTTTGGTGTTGGGCCATACCGGGCTTTGGTTCTGGAGACTTGAGATTTGTACCTGGAAATTCCCGAGATTTCGCCGGACCGCCACACTCCACATACGCCCACTGAACTGGAGACCGTCTCGCAGTCGAACTGGGTCTGCTCCAAGTCGTTTGAGAGGGCGACAGCACTGTGCTGAGACAGCACCTGACCTCGAAGACTGGTCGGCAGGAGAAGGCGTGAGAACTTCCTGTCAGCTCCAAAGTTGAGCTCCTCGGAATGGGTCTGAAGATGCGGGGCGAGGGTTTCTCAACTTGAGGCGCTTGGAAGCGCCTGGCTCAGTCGACACATTTTCTCCCCGGATCGAAGGTTTCCAGGCTTTTCACCACAGGGACCAGGGGGACACCATGACGATGATGATGGCTCCACCCCTAACATTATGTAATTAGCACCCTTGATGACTGGATGACTCTGAGGATTTCCCCCTAAAACGCTTTCGCGGTGCTATGGAACATCATTTGCTGGGGTTCTGGTGGACCAGAGAACCAAATGAAGACTCATGAGATGATCCCAGTTTACTGGAAGAGATCCAAGAAGAGCTGGCAGCTGAGCTGTATGTATGTATGTAATGTAATGTAATGTAATGTAATGTAATGTAATGTAATGTAATGTAATGTA